GGAAGAGAATTTAGTAATTTCTTGTTGATTTCAGACCTAGTATCCATCACAACTGCGGAGCTCATTTCAGTGGTTAGTATGATAAATCTTTGCAATTGATTTTCCAATGTTTCTCCCACTACATAATTGAACATGTTGAATTTCTGTCGGAGCATGTCTTGTCGTCTTTGCTTCATATCTTCATTTCCTTTGTAAACTTCGATGAGCGCTTCCCATAATGCTTTTGCTGATGTATATTCACGAAATCCTTGTGCAATTTCAGGAGACAACGCCATAGTGAGTGTGGCAAGTGCCTTTTCTTGTTCTTCAACTCTTTCAAAATCATCATCAGTGTAATTTTCAATTTGTTTGTCAATTACTGTGCCATCTTCTAGAGTAGAAGTAATCTGAATTGGTCCTCTTAAAATGCTTCTCCAAATTTTGAAATCCTTCATTTTGATGTATTTTTCAATTCGGTATTTCCATTCAGGAAATCCTTCAGCTGATAGCAATCTAGGAATACGAGTAGTGGTTCCCATAATTGCATCCAAATCTTTATGAGCAATCATGTTTTGAGATTCCATTTGAGCAATCTTCAACCGCACACTAACACTCTTAAACGCACACTCTTTAATCGCACACACCAAGCCGGCCGCACACCAAGGCGTACACTGAGCCGCACACACCAAGCCGGCCGCACACCGAATCAAGCCCCACACCAAGGCATACACTGAGTCGCACACACCAAGCCGACCGCAAACCAAATCAAGTCGCACACCTAGGCGTATACTGAGCCGCACACACCAAGCCGTACACAGATCTTAACCACACTCACTTCAGCCGCACACACTTAATATCAATAGCAAACACCTTAACCGCACAAATTTAACCGCAAACACTTTGCCGCACACAGCTTTAACTAATACGCTCCACCGCACACACTATTGGCAGCAAACCTTCAACAGTACTTCGATCAAAATTCTTAAAACATTGAAATTTTACACTCTCACACTCAAAAGTAACTTCAATTGATACCAAATTGGCTCTGATACCAATTGTAAGTCCCCAAAATTGCTTGTGTATCAATCAGATCCAATCGATGGTGTGGAATCCCAATCAATTGGATGATGTCAGATCAAATAGAAGAGAATGAGAAGAAGAAGAAGATGAATCTAATGATGTATTTATGATATTGAGTGATGCTCCTTACAATAAATTCTCTCTCTCACACACTTCTTCTCTCTAACTTTCTCTCTCTACACTAGCCTTATCTCCTTTCTTACAATCTCTAACCGTACACTCCCACATGCACACTCTATTTATATGGACCTCCAGCCATACACATGTGTACAACCGCACACCCTGTGTACGACCGTACACAGGGTGTGCGGCCGTACACACAAACCGCAAACACATACAACATTACATAAAAATATATTTTCCTAGAAAAGCAAAGTATAAACCATATTTTTGACCCAACACCATGAAGCTTTATTATTATTAATCCATTAAAAATTATATATAACAAGAAATGGAGTCCATAATAGCAACTAGCCCACATTCTACAATAATATGAGAGTTGAGTCCATTTAGATTTAATTAGAATTCTTCAGCCCAACAATGAATAACCGATCATGACAAGGAGTCCAAAGGTTAAGGGCCCATATCAAAATAACATAATACAACATGATCAGTCCAAAAGCAAGGAGACCCTTTACCTGAGTTATCTTCCTCAGCCGCCTGAAGGTTCCCTGTCGACGTCACCTCCATCGATACAACTTCACCGGTGCGGCCTCCTTCTTCGGCGACATCTCCCCCTTTCTCTTTATCTTACACCATCCTCTCAAATCTCACTTTACCCGATATCCTTGAAAACATTTACAATGAATTACTTATCTTGGCTACAATGAGGCTGAGATTTCAAGGGCAAGACGAAGATTAAAGACTACGCTAACCACCACTGCCATTGACGGTTTATCATCGATGACATTGCTCACTAGAACCAGACTTGATCTAAACCATTACCAGAACTCGATTCCTTTCTGAACATCACTATCTTAACTCCAACAAAACCCATTCTCGTTCTCTTCAAAGGCACCAACAAAAGCTTCCATTCCCGGCGACGATTCCTTATATACCGATGTCGGCGGTTCTATCTCATTCCCATTATCAAGTTTTAATCGTTGCTATCATCCCCTTCTCTACAGGTGGCTCAAGAGGAGCTCACCATGAACCCAAATGGCCCTCCGACATGTACCTCACCACCGAAGGTTGAGCTCATCGCTCAAACCCTTATGATGCCTCACCGATGGTATTGCCCTATCCAATGGTGCCTTCATCTTTGGAGAAGTGAATCAGACCCGCCTCCCAACATTGACGTCTCATCCCCTTACTGCTCTCTTTATTTTTCTGGATCTCAATCTCTCTCTGCCTCTCTCTTCAGCCGCACACACATACACATACTTACCCTCACTACTCTAGGGCTTTTGGGTTGATTATATATAGGATGTGATTACCACCAATGGGATGAAGGATCTCTTGCCTCCCACGATGTCGTGATTTCCTAAATTGATAGAAACAACACCCATAGTTTAGACTTTTGATAGTTTTAACCCAAGCTTGATTTCCTCCAACAAAAGAAGTTTCTGAAATAGCATAAATCCCCCTAGAACTTTACAACTTAGCTTTATTGTTACTATGCTAATCTAATAAATCCCATTTTAATTAATTTACTCCTTTAAACTATCATAATGCCACACTAAACGATTAAATCCATCCAAATAATTATTTGCACCCTTTTTAACTATACTCACCATTCCGTAAAGTTTACATTCTAATCATTCAACCACCCCATGCTATTTCTTAAACCTCCCTTCCATATATATATAAATGGAAACGGGATGTTATACCGAACCATTCCCTTTAAAACCAGAAGTACCTTAAGCAATTAAACATAAAATCGTAAGCACAAAACTTAATGAATTTCCTAAAATACCATTCGACCATACGGGCTCCAACCACAGGCATAACGGACCTTTCCCTAAAATATATCAGGCCCCACCCAACTTACATAACATGCCCCGCCCAACATGTATCACGGGTCTCCCCCACCATATAAAACATGCCTTACACATATACATAACGAGCCTCATCTAACATACATGTGAGAGTCACAAAGACAATCTAGCATCCTACACAATATGGTGAGAAGATTCACCTCAAAGTCTAAGTTGATATATCAAAGCTCTCATAGACAAAAAACTAGTGTTACACACCACCAAATGAAACATTCAAAGTCAAACCTTGGTCTACCTTCTAAAAATAGCAATTTGAGCAAAAGTCAACCAGTTAAAAAAGTTAACGATTAACGCTTACCATGTCGCGGCCAGCAAAAGGCTACGTCGCGACAGATAAATGACAAGATAGTCGGGAAATCCTCATTCACCACATCGAGGAGAGCATATTGCTACTTATGTACATGGACAACTTAATGGATTAAATCCTTTGCGCAAAATTTCCAAAAGGCTTCTTGGGGCCCTAAAGGTTCATACGAATCCAAACTTTATGGACATGCACGACCCATACATGTCCTTCACTCAAACTAGGTTAAAAGATTAGAAGATGACCTAAATATCATGCATGGGTTTCAAAACACTCTCAACTTATAGATGCAGAAGATATAATACTCTAGGGATATTAGTGATTCATAAAGTTGCTAACTTATTAAACCCATTCATTCAAACTTCAACAATGGACCATATTATGCTAAATTTCTTAGATCCACGAAAAATGAACCATAAAGATAAAGACTTGAAGACTTACAATGGTCCAAAAGATGATCACAAACGTGGAGATGAGTTGCTTGATGTATCTTTGCACTAGAAAACTTATTCTTATTCTTTAAAGGTCAAAAAGTCACCAAAATGAGCTCAAACAGCTTGAAAGGAGGCTATAGTTTAATCTTATACACTTAGAGGAATGATGGAGGATGAGGGTGGACAAACCCTATCCATCACATCCCTTAAATAAGGCCTTAAGCCTGGTAATTAGGGTCTTGAGACTGGGACGTTGCCAGATCGTGGCCGACACATGGCTACATCATGGCCACTTAAAATGATCACGACCCTAAAAGACGTTGTCATGTCGTGGTGATCCTCGACATGACATTGTGGCCACCAAAATTCCCCAAGATTAAATCATAAAATTCATACCTAAAAATCGGGTGTTACAGACATGGTGAAATCCGAGAAACAAAAGGTCGTAAAACTCAAGAACATGAATTTTGGCGAGGTAGGGGGAGCTATTAACTTTCACCAACCTATACTGGTATTTCCATCACTAAGCATACCATTAATGTTGCAGTTACCAAGACCATCACTATATTATTCCATGATATTACAGTCACCAAGACTATCACGACAAACAGTATTTCATTACAGTGATATTTCCAACACCAAACATACAACTACAATCAATACTTGCATCGAAGATAATACGATGATATTTACAACACTAATCATACTACTAATAATCATTTCCCGCACAGTAGTACTTGCATAACCAAACATAATACTAGTTCTTTATTAATAATCTACAAGTATAACGTTAAAGATATTAAATCCACTATTGACTTGCATTCCTCCAATTATGGTATTATAGTCACACAAACTATCATATATTTACTAACAATATATAAATATAATGTTACAGACACCTAGCCCGTCATCCAAATAATTGTATTACAGTCATCTAAACTACTATTAGTTTCAATTATATAGACTTACAATATAATATCATTGTTGCTAAAATATATATTAATTTTAGTTACTAAAATTTTGCTTCAATTTAAGTGTCTTTTTAATATTTTTGAAACATATTTAAGAAAATGACTAGTTGAAGGTTTTAACTTTTAAGGATAAAAAAATGTTTATCCCAATATGTTGTATTGATTCTATTGAAGCAATTTTAATTTGGGCATAGGCCCACGACCATTTTCTAAAATCTAAAGTCTAAACCGGAGACACAGGTCCATTTTCAATAGTCCCATAACTCCATATTGTCAATACACGCCTTGTCGCATCAAAGCATAAAAAGGCGGGAGATCAAAAACTCATCTAGAAATCAAATCAATGCGAAAATTCACCTGAAGGAAGAAGAGCAGAAAAATGGCAGATCCTACACCGCTGGATTTAGATGAACTTCGGAGGTATTTTCAAACCCTAGTGTACACAGTGCACAATGCACTCACAAACTTTTTGAAGCTAATGATCGTATTTAATCAATAAGTGCAGTCGAATTAAAGAACTAGCTGAAAGTCGAACTAATTTTCACGAAGACGAGAATTTGATTACTTCAGACGAGGACGAGTTGCTCAGGGAATGTGTTTTCCAGCTTGGGGTGTGTTAGTTAATTTGAATCTTTTAGCCTCTTTTGTGTTTTCGTCATTACACCCACCTTTTGTTTGTGTTTATGAAAATAGGGGAAAGTTAATGAAATTATCGAAGAATACTCGGATGTCAGTTCATTAGAAGCTGAAGATTTGGGTATATCTTATCTCTCTATTTACATGATACAAACACTCCTTTACTCGCAACTTACAATGATGCTTGCAGTTGATACTTAACTGACAATGGGTATTTGACTTTCTTCTATTTTTTCAACTATGGAGAACAAGGGAGAACATGGACACTGATTACTTTTGATGATACTTTTAATGTTCGCTTGCTTTACCTCCAAGTTTGGGTCAATTGACTAACATAATTTAGGCAACCAACTATTTTCATACAATTTTATGTGATTTATGTCATTAACTAACCTTGTTTATGTAAATGACGTCACTTTTTACTTAGATTTTTACTCCAATTAGGTCACCAGAGTTGCAATTTTTATGCACTTGGTCACCAGATAATCAAGTTCTTGGTTGCTAATTGACCCAAATAAGCGGGATCCCTAATTTATATACCTAATTGGCAAAGAAAATCGTTTTTTACTCAAATTAACAAAATTGATTCTATAGAAGTCAAATTAATCCTCAAGATTTTAAGTATCTCCATTATCAAGTATGTGAACCTTATCAAGGTAAAGGATAAATGGAAAATTGGTTGCTGTTAGTAGTTACATGCTGTTTATTCTCAATCAAAGTTAGAAAAGGATTCTTCCCAAAAACAGAATAACCTGTTTTTTGCCTGAAAATTGTTTTATTGATTGGATTGTTTATTGGTGTAAGAATGTGTTGACAAGTGTCTCTATGTACATGACATAAAATACACCAAATTCCTATCAGTTGAATTCAGACATCTTTAGCAATGATAGATATTATAAATTGTAAAACTTGTGTAATTAGATGCATATGTGGAGAATTTGAAAGGGGAGCTTTGCTCAATGGAGGCTGAAAATGCTGAACTTTCTGCTGAAATTGAGAATCTTATGAAGGGATCTTTTGAAGGTGAGGGAAATCATATTAAGTTGCATTGCATTTTGGCATGGCTTCTTAATGAGCATCTTAATTTGCTATCTGTAATTGCAGATTCTATCCGTTTGCAAAACAACATTGAAGGACTGAATTCAACTATGGAGTTTATTCAGTCACAGGTTTTTTACTATTTGACTTTTTAATATACATAAAGGGATTTATTTGTTAACCTCACAAACATCTTTTTATAAACTTTATGTTGAAGGGTCTTGAAACAAAAAGAGCAGATGCTGTTCTTGAATGCTCTTTGCTGGAAGAACATCAACCAGAAGCCATAGATGCAGATGGTGGTTGCAAGTTTAAGGTTTGATAATATAGCCATGAAAATACACCTTCTATGCTTTTATCTGTTTAATTATTTGTCAGCTTCTTTATTTGATTTCCTTTTAAAGCTTTTAGAGTTGAATAGTCAAATTGAGAAGAAAAGAGGAATGTTGAAGTCTCTAGAAGATCTTGACTACACTCTCAAAAGGTATTATTGCTGGGATACTAGGGTAGTGTTAGGTATAAGGGAATCGAGGAGGGAATGGAATTGGAATCACTCATTCCATTGAAATGAAAAAGAGCTGCTTGTTTTGTCTTCTTGAAGGAATGTTATTCCTTCCCTTTTCAGTCATTAGCCAAGTGTTGTTTTATTCTTCATTATACTTTTATTTGGGATTTGATAAGCTTTATCAATTTTCAACTTTTTAATTCTACATTAAAAAAATCTATTCTATTTTTTAGAGACCAATCAAGCATGATCATGGAATGCAATGAATTATTCCATTTCCATTCATTCGTCATTCCATTCCATCAATCCAACCAACCAAACAAACAGATGCATGATTTTGGATTTTTTTTTTCTTTTTCCTGAAACATGCAGGTGTGAAGATGTTTTAAAGATTGAAGACTTATTGACTGGACTTAAAGTCATTGAATATGAAGGGAATCGAATTAATTTGTCTTTAAGAACATACATACCTGAAACAGAAATGGCTGAACAGATTCATGAGTTATCTATAGAGTTTCTGGATGCCACATTGGAACTCAAGAATGCTGAGGTATTATTTTAACACTACTAATTTATATATAATACCATTTGATGATTTTACCTTATGTTCCTTTTCATCTTTCCTTCAGATTTTCCCAAATGATGTCTATATTGGTGAAATTATTGACACTGCTAAATCATTTGCGTAAGTTACTATTTATTTTCTTTTGCTTCAACCATCCATAACCCTTATATTTTTTTGCCACCTCAGCGCCAACTCATCAATCCCAAAACCTGAACATGTCTCTTTATAACAAAAACATTTCCTTAACTTATTAATGGGTCCCACATAATTTAATCTATATAGTTTTTGTTCTTTCTTTATATACATCAACATATTTGAAATTATATTAAAGTAACTAAATAGTATATATATATATATATATATATATATATATATATATATATATATATATATATAGTTTTCTTAATCTTACGAATTTTCCTACTTTTTGTATATGTTTGATGAAAATAAAAGTATATAGAAAACCAAAAAAGTAAAAAAAAAAAAAAGAAAAACAAAAAGATGTAAAATAATTAGTTATTCTTGCAGACACCAATTTTCTCTTGTTCCAATCTTTGAGAACAAAACCAGCTTGGAGTGGTTTGTGCGAAGAGTGCAGGACAGAATTATTTTAAACACATTAAGGAAATCTTTGGTCAAAGATGCAAACAAGTCAAGGTAAAAGTAAAACTTTGCTTTTAATTTTTCTAATTTTATTTTTTTTGCTAAAAGTGTTTTGGTTTGTGAATAGGCATTCAATTGAGTACATAGATAGAGATGAGATGATAATTGGTCATATGGTGGATGGAGTTGATGCTTTTATAAAGCCATCTCAAGGCTGGCCAATGACTACTTCTCCATTGAAGCTTCTTTCTTTGAAAGGTTCAACTCAATCTTCCAAGGAGGTTACTTTTAGCTTTCTTTGCAAAGTTGAGGTTAGTCATGCACTTAGTAAAATTATTTAAGACCTAAAAAAAACATAATTTATATATGATTACTACTAAATTGTTTGTGGTTTTAGGAAATGGTGAATTCGTTGGATGTGAAAGTATGCCAGAATCTTTCTACATTTATGGATGCAATTGAAGAAATTCTCAAGCAAAGAATGCGTATACAACTCCAATCTGAATCTGGTAGTAGCATCAACAACTGAGTTTTTCCTCTATTTTGGGTCTTGTCTTGTTACTTCCATCAGTTTGATGTATGTTAGTTACTTCATGTGTAAAATTATGTTAGTGAAAAATTATTCACTACATGCATATTTATTTAAGAGTCACAAAAACAATGGTTTATGTGACAACCGTCAAAATTCGAGTCGGTCATAGATTTGACTATATTAGTTGCACATAAAGGCACTACACATATTGGACTTAGTAACTAGAAGCCAAGTTATGACCTATTAGAAACTTGGAAACAATTAGAAACAATGGATAATGTGCTTGGATTTCACATTGGTATGTGAATTCTACAACTACTTAACTGTAGTGGCTATCCATATTCGGGTTACTCTTTGACTCGAACAACATTTCATGAATCATATACACACATTATGCACTTGACCTAGTAGTAGAAATTAGGTCGGAGTCTCATAGAAACTTAAGTCAAAGTTGAAGACTAGGACTAATATACTTGATTCCTCAATTTCGCTTGAATCTCGGAATCACTACATAGAATGCCAATAAACCCATAAAAAAATAAATTATAAACATTATTTATAACTATAAAAGAGTTATAATACCATAAGATAATTTGAAGTTTCAAATATTCAATTTATTTTGATATTCAAAGTTTATTAAACTTCAAAAACCCTAAATGCCCTAAAAACTCATATTTATAAGCTTTAACCTTAAAAATTTCTATAAAAATAATTATGAAACTTATAATATGATCTTATGATAATAAAAATTATGAGAGTGAAATTAAGAAAAATAAAATTTAAGTCATTAGTATTTAATCTTATTTCTATGCAAAAAAATCAAGGTTTTGTGAATGAAAATTAAAATAAGGTGCATATTTTATAAAAACTTGATATTTTTATAAAATAAAGTTATAGTTTTATAAAATTTAAGAGAAGGAGACCTTCTCTCCACTCCAAAGTCGGACTCCCTCTCCCCATACACTCTCTCTTCCCAAAACACAATCATTAAGTCAAAACCCTCACTCCACCTCTTCTTTCTTCACTCTCTTACACTCCACTCTTCACACACTTCACTCTCTTCTTCCCTCTCTCTAAACTCACGAAAATCCTCTCATTCCTCTGCAAAATTTCGAGATTGTGAAGCCCTTGAAGTGTTCTTACTTCCCTCAAGATCATAACAAAGGTAAACAACATCATCTTCATCCATAGTTACATGATTTTACTTCTTTTCCTTCTTAGTTTTCTCTTCTTTTCGGATTCTATGCCATTCCATGGCTAGAAATCTTTATTTTTCCCTTGTGGTTTGTAGATTCTCACCATAACACAATGCATGTGTTAGAGATGGTGAAAATCCGGGATCAAACCCATGCAAGGAGTGAAAAAGATGCACATATGATCATATGACATCAAAACCTAATATTTCATGTTCTCCATTTCTTTTGTGTTCATGCATGACCTAAAGCATTTAAACCATTTCTAGTACATCTTGGATGCTCATTCATTCCATGCATGTGTTAGAAATCGGACCTTACCAAAGGCATGCATGATGTTCTTGTTGAAATACCCTATATAATGCACACAAACAAACATGCAATCTGCCAGATTACTTTGTTCGACTTTGAACGGCCATAACTCGGTCATTTCTTAACCAAATCATGATATTCTTTTTGTATTGGATAGTTCCACGAGTTAACTTTCAAACCCAATTGGTCTCACTGTAAAATATTAAATATCCGATTTTTGGCAATTTTTACAAAATGATTGCGCATACAGCTCTTTTTCAGTGATCTCTATTTTTGTCTTGCATGATCAATGGCCTTAAACCCAACCATAAATCTGAGGAAAAATACCTTAAAAACTTAACATATCTAGTGATTGATGGTTGAAATTTCGTGGCTTAAAACCTCACTGAATGGGCTACACAAATTCATGAACTTCAGCCACATCTACACTTCATTCATTATTGCATGCAACTTTTCTTAAATTGTTTGGATTCATTACTCTCATTTCTTTTCTGAATACATTTTTAACATTTTTCCTTTTGAAAGCCCTTGCATGCATGAGATAATCTGGAAAATTTCAAAAGCTTTTATTATTTCTTTGATTTATTAAAATTATTGCTAAAACCAAGGGCATAAATCATATAAAATACTTCCAGAGGTCAATAAACCATAAATAAATTCATGGATGATCCTTATGGTGAATAATGACCCCTCACCAAATTTCAGCAATTTTTGTTACTGTTTAATACGATTTCTAATTTTCTTTTGTTTAGGGCATGATAATTTACAAAACCACTTTAGAGAATGTGAAAATTTTATATAACAATTTTCGCATACCTTACATGTGATGGGTGACTCCAGAAAATAATTTCAAGATTTTTCATCATGTCTTACTATTTTTCCCAATTTTTGGTAATTATAATGGTCTAAAAATGGGAAAAATAGTTCTGATTATCCAAAATTCATGAACATTTACCAGAATATCATATTATACAGTAGGAGGTTACATAAAAATTTTGAGAATTTTTCTCTACTGTAAACTATTTTTCTCTTATTTTCTAAAGTTAATTACACTTAAATACACTTAAATACACATAAATACTCAAAACCAGATTATACATTATGAAAACCACTTTTGATATTTTTCCCAGGTTATTTATACTGTAAATGATGTTACAAAAATTTTTGGTAATTTATTTTAACTGTTTAATATTATTTTTTCAATTAATGATTAATTAAAGGAATAAAACAAGGAAAAATAGAAATACCCATTGAAAAATATCTTTTATATTTTTCCCAGCCTAGTTATGTATAATAACAGTTAAATAAAAAGTTTGGGTAATTTTGGAAACTATTTTCTATTTATTTCAATTTTTATTGGAATAAATGCTCAAAAATCATAAAATATAATTAAACAGCTTGGAAATCTATTTTTATATTTTTCCCACTTAGTAATGTTTAATAACAGTTAAATAAAAAGTTTGAGAAATTTTCTTAACTCATTGCTATTTTTCATGAATTTATGGTTATTCAAGAAACTAAAATGGTGAAAAATAGTTAGACAACTCAAAAATTCAAGAAAATTTATCTTGAGGTTTTTGACTTTAATTAAAACTGAAATGCAAAGTTTGGGATTTTTTAGAATTGAATTGATTTAGTTTTGAGTATTTAATCATTGGAACACCTCTAAAATGTTAAATATTAACATTTCAATAATGAAAATTTTCCACTTAAATTGTTATATAACAATTGATTCTTTGAAACTTAATTTCCACAGAAAAATGTTTGTAACTTATCGATATTAAATTTTGACACAATATTGGCATAATTCTATTGTAGTACCATGTATACTAGTGTTAGATTTCGATTAGAGACTCACTAGCGAATACCATTATTGTAGGAATCGATAGTGATACGAGTGGAGCATAGTCAAGGCACCATTTGCATCATCTCAATGCACATTGTGAGTATTCACGCACTCCCCTATTTTCGGTTTTAAATGTTTTGGGGTGGAAAAGCATGTCCTAAACTATTTTTATGTTTGTTGTATTTATTTTGACTTGTATGAAACTTGGTTGCTATATTTCGTATGTATGTGTATGTTACTTTAATTCATGAGGACGGTGTCGCGGTTAAGTCCCTGGAATCTCTAGACACAACTCATTAACTCTTTTGAGCCTATGGTTATTATGGATAGCGCTATCAGGAGGTAGACAACTCCTCACTCGCACGATTCGCTGAGTGCATTTTACCATTTTATACACTATGTTTGCGATACACATAGTAGTCAATAGGGCACGATTCGGTCATTAGGCTTGGGTTGTGAACTCATGAATGGAAACTTGATGCACGTACTATTCTTTATACACATACGAAACTTGTATTCCCATGTTAGCAACGACACTTGTATACTTATTTTAGCAATGAAACTTGAATACTTATTTTAGCAACGAAACTTGTTTCTCATTATAGCAATAAACTTTGTTTCTCATTATAGCAATGAACTTTGCTTCTCATTATAGCAATGGACTCTATTTCTCATTACAACAACGAACTTTTACTACTGGAAACTTATATACATGTTTTAGCAATGAAATTGTTTGCTCCTTGTAGCAACGAAATTGACAGCTCATTTTAGCAATGAAACTTGTTTTACTCGTTTGAGTAACGAACTCTATCTTCCATGAAAATATGAATGTTGCATCTTATTCGGGCAACATACTTTATTTCTCATGATGACAACGAACTGTGTTTACAAACTTATTTACTCCTTTTAGCAATATACTTTTATTATTGGAAACTTTTATCAAAACTTTGATTTCAACTCATGAACCAATATTATTTCGTTAAACTTGTGAGTACTCACCAACTATTTTTATAGTTGACGCTCGTTTTACATGCTTTTTCAGGAATCATCGAGTAAGTGGCACTTAGGGACACTTCAATTTTAGGAGCATTTGCATGTGTTGTATTTCTATTTTCATTGTAATTTCTTTTAAAAGTTGTTCAAACCCGTTGTAAATTTGTATTGGTTTTTAATACTATGGTTGATGTTGTCTTTAAACTTTTGCTATGAAACCCTTTGTACTGCCACGCCTCGTGTTTCCGCTTTAGCGGGGTGTGACAGTTTACATACATGATCATGAAAAATTATGCCCTCACTACAAAAGGCCATCTAGGACATGGGTATAACTACGAGTAATTTAGGAGTAAAATACGGTTTGTAATTCATAAGTAAAGTGTGTCGTTTTTAAAAAATGAATATCTAACAAATTAACCATATTTCTCATTTATAACGAAATAACCATCAATTTCGTGGTTCTTTGATATTTTTATAGTTTATGAATAAAAGTATGAAACGTTTTGCAAAGAGTGTTTCTCTTGTATTGTACTAATATTATTAATATTTTTTTTTTCTAAACATGTCTACATGTGATGTATAGTTGAAAATAGGACTTCTGTAATTTATATCAAACTAAAAAAACGTTGTAGTACATGTATAAAATTATTCACAATTTGTGTTTCTCACGTATTGAACTAATATCATGCAAGAAAACTGTTTCTAATCAATTAATCATGTCTAGCGTAATATATAGTTGAAATTAGGGATATCAAAACTTAATGAATTTTCTTCAATGGTTGA